CCCCTGTCTTCAATGGCAGCCATTTGCAGTGTCCCATACTCAATGGCAGCTATTTGCAGTGTCCCCTGTCTTCAATGGCAGCCATTTACAGTGTCCCCTCTATTTAATGACAGCCATTTGCAGCGTCCCCTCCCTTCGATGGCAGCCATTTGCAGTGTCCCCTGTCTTCACCGGCAGCCATTAGGAGTGGCCCATTTCGGCCAGCCCTTTCAGCCCTGGTGTGGCTATCTATACTATATCCCACCATCTTTATGATTCCGATCTGGAGTCTCCTCAGGCAGCTGAACCGAGATTTTTTTTTTTTTAAAAAAAGGCTTTCCTGAAGCATAGACTGATCATAAACGTGCTTCGAAAAGATTCCGATGAGTTATTGGTGCTAAGTCTAACGTCACAAACTTAATGTGAGAACACCACCACCTGCAGGTTCCCCTCCGAGCCACTCACCATCCTGACTTGGAAATACATCGCCAAATCCTTCAGTGTCGCTGGGTCAAAATCCTGGAATTCCCCTCCCTCATGGAACTGCGTGGGTGTCCCTACCCTAAAAGGTGAACTGTAGCGGTTCACAAAAACAGCTCACCACCTTCTCCTGGACACCTAGGGATTGACAACGGCGCTTACCGCCCCAAAGCGAGTTTAGAAACGTACCTCTTGCGACACCCATCTCCACGCCCTGAACCTGGCTGCTCTTGAGATAGGGTCCAAGAAGCAAAAAAAAGGTGGCAGCAGAGCATTGCTAACAGGAGAGGCATCACCCAACCTCATGGTAAGGGAAGGGTGGACACACATCAGAGCCGGGAGCCTCCGATATGAATACTGCCATTGTTCATCAGCTTTTAAAAGAAAAACGTGTAAATTAGGGTGAATAGTGCTTCTCATTGTGTCAACTAACAAGCAATGTGCTGAACTGAGTTACTTAACCCTCCCCACCGACCTGAGTCTGTTTGTTTATGGTTTGTTAGGTTTGATGTGCTAGTCTGATCAGTGATTGACCTGTAACCACGTGGGTCATACCTACTGCCCTGTCCTTACTCCCTCCTTTTGCACTCGGGCTATGAGAGGGGTGCAGAGATTGGGAGGGTGGATGACATTGGACCAATAAAGCCCACAGCCCAAAAAGTCCAGGCCGCCCAAAACCAGCCACAACAGATGCACGGACATTAAACTAGATTACTGAAATCTGGTCTCAGTGACGGAGATTTCACAAAATGTGCTTTCGGAAGGAAAGAAACAAATTTGCCACCCTGCTGCCCAACATCACCGTGCTGGCACTGAGGCGCACAATCTGTTCTCTCTCTTCCCCCACTACCCCATCAGAATACGCAAGTGAAACCTGTGGGGAAAGAACAGCGCGCACACACACACACACACACACACACACACACACACACACACACGGCTGCTTCTGGGATCTTGCTGTGCACAATTTCCCTCCCCCCTCCTTACCCCCTTTCAACAAGTCAAAACAGCACATCGAGCAGGCTGAAGCAGTCTAAATTAAACACAGCCCCATTAGAATCATAGAGACGTACAGCACAGAAACAGACCCTTCGGTCCAACTTGTCCGTGCCAACCAGATATCCTAAATTAATCTAGTCCCATTTGCCAGCATTTGGCCCATATCCCTCTCAACCCTTCCTATTGAAGTGCCATCCTCTTCAGAGTGCTCGATAATCACAGAGTAAGGGGTGACAAAGGTGACCTCACTGCAGACCGAGTGTGTTCATGTTCACATGCTGTTGTATTTTACCAGAGCTTTGTCCTGTACTGCTCAGACTCTGGTCAAGAGTCACCATAAAATGCTTCAATGTATCACAACTTGAGAATAATAAAAATGTAGTCTGAAACTACGAAGCTGCCTTGCGTTTCCTTCCAAACATCACGCTGTTGCTCCAGCTACTGGAACATCAGCAGAGGCAGGCAGGTGTGCGCTAAAAATGTTGAATGTTTCTCAGTCAGTGGGTGTATGGGAGAAAAAGAGACTTCTATCAAATACTCATTGGATTGAGACTTTTAGTTGGCTCAACTGGGTCTCTTCCATTGCACTGTCAATCACTATATTTCTGCTGACAAGTGCTGGTCCACCTCTCCAGTACAGACACTCCGTATCAATGGTGTACACCATTTACAAGATGCACTGCTGCCTCACGGTGCCAGGGATCTGGGTTCGATTTCACCCTCGGGCGACCGTGTCTGTGTGGAGTTTGCAGATTCTCCCCGTGTCTGCGTGGGTTTCCTCAGGTTTCCTCCACAGTCCAAACGATGTGCAGTTTAGGGTGGATTGGCCGTGCTAAATTGTCCTGTAGTGTTCAGGGATGTGTAGCTTAGGTGGGTTATAGGGGGATGGGTCTGGGTGGGATACTTTGGAGGTTCAGTGTGGACTTGTTGGGCCAAAGGGCC